TATCTCTCATATCTTACATAATTCGGTCTTTGATAATTCTCTTATTTTGCTCACGCATGACCGATCAAGCTCATAAATAAAGTTGCTCAGCGGCAGATGAGCAGTGAATTAACGCGAGGATAGATCTAATTAGTTACCAAGGAGTCATAAGGGTCGGTAAAGACGATATGGGATGACGGTTAGACTTCCTGACAGAATTCATAAACGCGACCGCGACGATCCGGGACAGTTAGGAGGTCGCTAACGAGTGTTTCCTTGCAAAGACCTATCCTTCAAATCCGAGCGATGTCCCTGGGGCTGCCATTATCGTTGACTTGGTCGTCTCCGCCATTATCCACCATGACTACAGTGCCCCGTAGCTACATCCTCCCTCTGGTCGTCCACCCCTCCGAATCACGGCCCTCCTCGTTAACCTCGAAACGATCGTTTCGAGGGCTCTCTCTCCCTCTATCCTTCTACGAAGCCCTTCTACTCTTGCGTTTTGCTCCACCCTCGCCCACCCTCCTCTGCAACGCACAAATACATTTAGTAACGTCAGGAGAATCCGAAAGAGGGTGGCCTCCCGAGAGTATCCTAATGAATGCGAGCTTGTCTGATTTGTATAAACACATGCAACTATCATTTTCCTTAGAAAACACTGAAATAATACTTTTACATTCTGTCATACTTAATGAGTATAATTTTTTTAAAGACAAGTTAAAATATAATAAAATTTGGATTTGAGTGAAAAAATATGGCAGTATGAATTAAATAAAAAAAAAAGTTTAAACTCATAAACTTTTAAAAAAGTTCAGTAATCGGCTTTGTCACTGATTACATTTTTTTCTTACGACTTTATAAATTTTCAAATGCCTACAGAACCTTAATTCCGTGTACGAAACTCTTTCGAAAGACTTTCTTCTTTCCCAGTGTACTCGCACGGACGAAACAGCAGCCATTTTTTTTTTCGGATATATTTTCTTTTTTTAACACAAACTCGCATGCGGTATTCCGCGGCACGCAAACCGATCAAGTTTGCCTGCCGCGAAAACAAGCCGCTCTTGTTTTCGCGCGATGATCAGTCCACCGTGAATCGCCTCCATCTCCCGCATCTCTCCCTGTTTTTGCGCGCAGAGAAACAACAGTTTCGACGTTCTCTCAACGATAACAAAGGAACGATGAACGGGCCGGACCCGTTCATTTCACCGAGTCGTGAAAAAATATACTTTCGCCGACGAGAACGACGCGAAATATATGAGGCGTGCGAAGCGCGGTTTACATCAGAGTTCTATGTTTTCCTGGAAGGTACAGCCACGAAGTCACAAAAATCGCGATCGGCCAACTCGCGAATCCCATTGACTCGCGTAGGACATATTATTTTACCCCATTTAATCGGAGCATGCTTTATTTTTCTTATAAATGCCCACGAAATATAATGTCGATTATCACATCTGGAGAAATTAAACAGATCCACAACTCGCGTCGCAATCGCATATTTTTTTTCCGTGAAAATAGACGGCGAAAAATCTGTATGTTTTTTGCGCGTTACATATATCATGCATGCGATATTAAAACTGGCGTTTGATGGGAACGCATTGATTGCGCAGCGCTTCGCTACGGCGCGGCGGTCGACGATTAAACGTTGATTAGAACTAATTATCGAGCGGCGCGCATTTACAGGATCCGTCGTTTATAATTCCCCTTGGAAGGAGGAGACTTCCCATAAGATTCACCTCAGAATTCCACGTGCGGACGCGCCCGTAGACACGCACTGGAAAGTCCGCGCATTCGATAAACGCACGCCGTACGTTGAACCCATTCGCCATATTCACCAACGAGGAAGGGAGCAAAAACTCTGAAAAGCCTATATCACGGAAAAAGTTCCTTGGTAACCTTCTGAACCCTTGATTAAAAATAAACGCGCGGGAAAAGACCGAGGCGGCATCGAGGAGCGGCAGAAACCACGCTAACTGATTATTGTGCAACACCGCGATGGATTGCATCTCATCGTCGCGTTGTTTGCACCGTCTAATCACATAGAATTGCATTCTTCCGAAACGCACGTCTTCCTATGATTTATCAGAAATTTCGCACGGTTGCGTGCGGACGTGGCGCCTCCTCGTAACGACTTCCAATTAATTATCTAATTAACTTCCAAGTAACGGTAATGTTGTTTGTCCTGGCACGAAACGCAGGTAAACGCGATGTGTGGCGTACCGCGCGGAAAAAAAGGAGTCACGTTTTTATGTAGATGCTTCTCTTAATGAACGAGAGAAGCGAGATCGCAACAGTTCTTAATGTTACAATAGTCAATTATTTTATTCGCAATTAAAAGAGCCTATCTAATCTCACATAAATTCTGTCTAATTTCACATAAATAAATTTTTTTCTATTTCTGTTAGCTAAAAGATTAAAGTATCACGTGTAGAGTATCGAAAATTATTTTTTACCTATGTAGATATTTCGTATGCTACAAAATAGATTTGAGAAAACTTAAATAGAATGATAAAAAATAAATTTTGCATTATCTCAAATAATCACAAATCGTATTATTGTAATTGTCGGGACGCAAATCCTCCATACAAGCCGATTTCCTCGCAATCTCGACCCCAACTTTGTTCACTTCAAATCAAAGTTCCACGATCTGCATCATCTCCGAGGAAAAAAAAAACGAGGATTTTTCGCGAACTCGGCGTGATACAACTTCGTCGAGATGCACCCTCTGAGGCTGATCTCGTACAAGAACGAGAAACGAAAAGAAGAGGACACGTCGTCGTCGGCGGACGGTCGCGGCAGAAGAAGCAGAAGAGGAAAAGGAAGAAGTAGCGGGGCGGAGACGGAACTCCGTCGTAAATCACCGGCAGTACGGAATAACTGGCAAAAGCGCGATAAATCAGGGATCCCCGGGCACCGAATTAGGAAATTGCCTGCTTAAAAACCGCAATGACGTTAATCCCGGCGTGCCAGCCAGCGAGCCAGCCAGCGAGCTGCCGTTCGACGCGCGTATATATCGGCAATCCGGAAAATAAAACTGATTCGGCCAAGGAGCGATTCCTGGGTAGAATAATGCGGAATAAAATCAACGTAACTCAATCGCGCTTGTCTTTCGAGATCAGCCTCCCCGTCTTCGCCGTTGATAAATGTACGATATACACTACGGAGTACCTGTATACGGAAGTAGCTCCTTTTTCTAATTTGCTGCGTCTGTGCTGTGGGTACATTCAGGAAAAAATGTTGTTTGGGGAAGTACCCAAGGCACTATGGTGATATTCGATCTGAGCTACGGACTCACGAAAACGAAATCACGCCAGTTCTCATGCTGACGAGATCCCAAGAGAGAGAAAAGATAATTAATATTTAGATAAGAGTATTCTCAATTACGTTTTTCAACCTGCTCTCAATCAAATTATGAATTTTTTTTAAGAAGATGAATTTTATTTAGATGGAATAGGTCTGTTTTCGTGTTACGTGAAATTCCCAAAAATTTTTATACTTAAAATGTATATTCGGGCGATGGAGAGAAAGAAAGCGAAAATATTGAGTGTAAAAAGTGCAGGCAACGCCAAGAGACCTATAGAACTTTTTCAAGAAATTTTATATATTATATACATATCTATTATTTATTAACTTCAACTTCATTTGTTTAAAGTTCCTTGTTTATTAAACTTAACCCTCTCCTAGCAATTAAAATTTGAACTCTCTTCTATCAGCAATAAGAATCTTCAAGGAACAGAGCAATTTTTTTATTATTCTGAATATATAAAAAAAATTCTGATATTTTGTCATAGCTTTATATATAACAAAAAGTTTTTACATTATATAAATCAGATTACATTTTCCTTATTTCTTACAAATTTAATTTTACCAGAATTCACCATTAAAATATCGATGGAATCTTTAAAAGTTGTCGACGGAGAATTAACGAAAGTAAATTCAATCACAAAAGAAAGAGAGTTAAATCTCTTAAATTTTGTAATAACATTTATACACGTTTACCAACGATCCTCGCGATCGTCGTTTCGAGAATTCGAAACGCATAATGCACAGCTGATAGACATCTACGACCGACTGCCGTGACATTCAATATTGCCAGATTTTCGATGTGATATCTGACAATTGACCGGAATTAATGGCTAACCGGTGCACGAGCCGATCGCCAGCCGGTCCAACTTCCCTTCCGGAATATGAAATGACGCGCTAATGAGTTTTGCCCCACGGCAACGGGCCTAAACATACATAAACGTAAGCGAGCCGTGCCAATGCGATGAGCGGTAAGCATAAGCGATCGGCAGCGACATTATACGACGCAGTATAATCGATTACGACGCAATCGACTGCCGGCGTAAACGCCGAGATATCCACGGAGTCGGTGGGCTGCGGCAGACCGGACCTGACGAGCACGAATGGACAGACGTTCCGCTTCGACGCATTAATCAAGTTATTAATTATGTAGTCCTCATGCTAATTGAGCCTGTAATCTGCTCGCGCTGCCGTAAAATATCCACGCCGATTTACGCGGGGTTGAACGCGACAACAATACGTTATCATTGTTATTATCTCCGTCCTACCGTGACGCATTCCGCTTCCGCCTTGAAATTACGACGCCTTGAATTTACTTTCTACAAAAGTGGAAAATGAGACTCGATAAGAGATACCGCGATGATGTAACTTTTTATAAAACGTCAAAATTATATTTTATTTTTCTATTTATGTTCTCCGCTTTCTTATACTTATATCTTTTTTTATCACCTAATGAACATTTCTGTCAATATAGACTAACTTTAATTTCGGTTTAATTTATTCATTATCTTATCCTAATTCTTATAATTAGAGAGAGAGAGAGAGTAAGTTAAACCAAAATTAAAGTTAATTTACATTGATAGAAATGAACATCAGTTCGCTATTCGATTACACCTACAATAAAATGGTAGATAATATATTAATAACGAGTCTTTTTCAAAACTTTCATACAATGCTTCGTATTTAACTATTAAACATAATCGCTTAAATTTCTGTTACAGAAGATAGCGACCAGGAAATGGAGAAAAGCCGAAAAAGCGATAATCAGCAGGCAAAACTGCAAGAGGATATTCTTAACTTCGAGAACGAATTTATTCTCGCGCAACTTCTGTTCCACGATCGAGTTTAACAAAGTATCTCGCGTTTCGCTCGTATAATAAATAAATATTCCAACTCACTGGGAGCTCTTATCTTTCAGCAAAAACCCCATGATCCTTCGATAACCGCGACGCGAAACTTGCTGATCTGCGATCAAATTAATTGGAATGAGCATTTCTGCACATTAATAAAAAATGTCCGCCAAAACATGTCAGCTTCAGAACATTAATCACGAACGGAACAAAAAGATAAAAAGATAATATTAGTGCTAGTCGATAACAGTGGCCGACATCAAAGAACTTCCCCTTTCTTTCTCGTTTACAGTGATGTACTTAGAATTTTTAGATTCTTGTGGAAGGTCTATTTCTCATCCTTGTTAACATCAAAAATAATAATTTTAGATTTTTATGTTTTAAAGTATTATTATACTGTTATGTACAACGGTGCCGATAAATTAAAATATAAAAATTTAATACAATTTTATATAACGCTAAAAGAAAAGTTTCTAGCTGCAAAGCTCTTTAAAATAAATATGTTGCACAACAATGTGTTATAATAATACGAATAAAAAGGTTTAATATGCGAATAAGATCCTAATTTAATGATTCTATTCTTTAGAAACCTGATCTTTTTTAAACCTGATTTCTTTTGTCTACGCCGAGGAAATTGCTTAGATTAAGTTAATCGCTTTGCTTATATTCTTCATCGTCACTATTTATTTCGCCGTAGCTACGGGCCTGATCGGCTCGCTTCCCTTCGCCGACGTGATCGTTTTAGAATCCTCGGCGGCACCTGCCGTGCAACCTGGGGCACCGCACTCTGCACGTAAGTATATACGAGTAAGTATACACTTAGTCCCCGTGTGCAGGCTGCGTGCCGCGCGGAGAGGCCGCGCGGCTACGGTTATTACACGCGTCACGCGGCATTCCGTACGGTCACGCACCCTCCCTCCTCCCTCCCACGGAAGCTGCCGAAGGAGGGACTCTTATCGTCACCCTCTATCTTGTCAGCCATACGCAACCCCATTAAACCACTTGCGATGTGCCTTACACAACTTAAGAGCCGTGGTCGTCCATTCCGAGGAACAAGACTTGTACACGAAGCCAATCGCTAATTCTCTACTTTAAATATATGCGATTCGAGCTGGAAAATGCAAAACAACACCGACTAAAGTTTTACGAGACATTAAAATATTCGAATACAAAGTCAAGCGAATAATTCGCGAAAAATCATGGTTGCACTAAAAAAGATTTTAAATTTTAATAAATAATTTGTTTAAGTATCAACTAAATATTTACTAAATAAAGATATGTTTATTTGGTACAAGAACCATTAATTTGATTTAACAATTATTTTTTTATTGAATAAATATTTATTTACTGTAAGTGAATATTTAGTTGGTACTATTTAAATAAATATTTATTAAAATTCAATCATTTTTTCTCAGTATGTAAATGAGCTAAATATTTATAAACAGAAAAGTAGTTAATAAAAATAAAATAAAATATTACTATGTTTGCATTACGAAAAAAATAATCGTCGTAAAACCATCTTTCTCGCTGTAGCGCTCTTCTTTCACTTAAGCATGGGCGAAAAAATTAAAATCGACACCTGCGTCGCCTCGCACACAACTTTGACAAGACAGAAATCAACTAAAACTTCTTTTTATATCGCACCTTTCAAAAGAACTTTGGCTATTGATAATGAAAATCTAAATAATTTCAGAATTATTCGATGTATTCAATGAAAAAGTATTTTACTTTATGCTCTTGGTTATTTATTGTTTTGTTATAAAGCCACTTCCTTCGTTTGTTTATATTTTAAGTATTCCCAATATTATCATTTATCAATTCAGAAATGGAATCAGATAATTTACAATTCATTCCCCAAATCCTTTCCTTATCAAATTCTTAATCTTTCCTACTCTTTTAAGTTTTTTCTGAAATTTAAAGTAATAAACGCATATCTTAAAAAAAATAGAATAAAAATATAAGATTTTTTATTTTATATAACATATTTTCTTTCTTTAATTATAAATTTTTCGAAGAGTCATGAATGTAATACGAGAGTCTAATATGATCAGAGAAGATTTTCATGTTCAGTGATAATTTTTTTATAATCTTGTGATTTTCCGAACTTATTAATTCAATAGAAGTTTTTACAAAAAATATATCAGTCCAAATACATTCTCATTATGTCAGTAGCCAAAGTCACCGGAACGTGTCGAAGAACCATAATATTCCTCAAATATCATCCCTCTGAGAAGTCTAAGATCTCACCCCGAATAAACTCCGTCCGGTGAAATTCCCGAGTTACCACGCGTGGCGTGAGCAATTCAAGTTATCGGCCGCCAATATCAAAAACGAACATCGAGAAACGGCCGAATGAACGATCTCCAGCATCTATCGAGAAGGAAGAAGCGAGAAAATTTCCTCAGCCGAGAAAAAGATGGTTGATCTTCGTAGAGAAGAGTGGTGGCGGAACGGACACGATATAGTCGCTGATGGGCATACATATATATATATATATGTATGTACATACATATATACATACATACATGGAGAGGTGTACGTACGTACACCTCTCCTTGATATAGTGCGCGAAATCGTAGCGTCTTGAGGAGGCGGAAGGCGGAGAGAAGAACCGCCGCCGTTATCAGCTCGCGGCGGGATTGGCCGAGCAGGGGGACGCGGGGCTCTGTCGGCGACCAATGGCGTTCTGGTCTCGGCTTTTCAAGGATTCTGCCCCCCGAAATCCGGCGTGTCCTGTGCGCGACGTACACGCGCGCGCGAGCGTCCTCAATGTACACGAAACTCCGACTTTTCCAACCCCATCACACATACATCAAGGCCGCTGCCCACCGGTCGCCAGGGTTCACCATCGCCACCGACGGTCGAATGTCCAGCTATTTCGTATATTCCACCCTCAGCCAACCCCACGACGACCTCGCTCGTCGCTCTCCATCCGGTCCGTCCTTCCCCTTTCTTGCGAACATCTCTTCAGGAAGCATCTCCGATTCGTGCCACAATGATTCAGCTTTTTATCCGCTTTCTAGAATTCCGAGGAAGCTCGAATGGTTGATGATGGTGGTAAGATGTTACAAAAGAAAGAAAACGCGAGCTGTATAGCTTCCAAACACATTTCAGGATAACGCGAATAGAATTTATAAGTTTTTATAAATTTTTCTTAGTACACATAAACATAATTGCTTGTATTTATTTTCCTGAGAATCAATAAAGAGTCGATTCCTCTTTAATGAATTTATATTTTTCACGTACTCTGTTCTCATTGTCAATATGTGATATATATATATATATAAACTATCAAAAAACATTGATATTCGCTTTGAATTAACTTATTTTATCATAGATATTATTTAAAGTTTAAAAACATTTGAGAGATTTGACGTTGAAAAGTTGATATCACATGTGATTAATATTACAGATTTAAAAAACACTATATTATAAGATAATAATGAAAAAATTATTTCGATTTGTCTAATTACCATAGACTGTTAAAGAAAATTTATATCAAAATGTTTAATATCTTTTCTGAGTGCAGTTTTTTGCATGCAGTAGATAAGAAAATATCAAAATTAAAATCGTTTAAGAAATTGGTAAGCGAGTGGAAATATAAGAGATGACAAAATCGCAGCTTCCACTTCAAGACACTTCCTGCCAGTTGCCACAACTGTTTCTCCACTTGCGGAAAGAATTATGAAGGCGCTGCGAGTGACATCGCGATGCCAACAACAATATATGAGATCATCTTTAAAGACACCCACTCTTGTCTTCTAGAGTTCCCCGATATTTTCCTCGGTTTCTTTAACCAGCTTTTTATCGGCAGCTATGGATAAATGCGAAAAAGTAAATATAGCAGAAGTATCTTAAATAAACAATGATTTCTTGCAACGATTAAACAAGACACTGAAGAAGACACACGTCGAAATAGAAATATTTTTAACTGCATTTTTTTTTATAATAACATTCACTATAAAACGCAACAATATATCCGTTGTGAAACGCAATCGAAAAAATAATGCGGCGTCGTGCTCGTTAGAAATACATGCACCGATTTTTGCGTCGTTAACGTATCTCTAATATCGTATAACGCTCTAATGTATTCGCCTTGGGGCATTAGTCGGCTAAGTAACTTTCGCATCAGGTGCGTCTTTCTACATGGCGATCGCACCGTTACGGTGCGATCTGCGGCTTTTGTGTCCAATTAACGCCGAAGATCTCTCCACACAGACGGCACTCTCAGCGATACAGGTGAGCGATAAACGCGGGCTGTAAATAAGCGCGGTTAGCTGAGAGAGAAAGAGAAAGAGAAAGAAACGAGTCGCACGAAGGAAAACAAGACTATGCTATTGATAACATTATCATAAAAGCGACGTTAAATGGTCAGTCGCGATGTTACACCAACGCCACGCACCGCTGCTGGCGAACGACTCTATAAATGCGTTTACTTTGAACCGTAAAAGCGCCGTACTTCGTCTGGCACCGTTAAACGTACATTGGCGGGCACATACGTAGCACACATACACACGCATCGATGCAATGTATACTTCGGTGTCTGTGTGTGTATGTGTGTGTTTATACGATGCAGGAAGGAACGGGAACGTCGACGAAGCACCCGGCGCTTTACGGTAAAAGCCCTCTTTGAGTGATCCGTTTATTGGTTGCTAAACATCGATATATTGCTTTCGGGGTTGCGCAAAGAGCCGCGCTGTGTCCTCCCCGTATACATATATACATACGTATACGGTAGGTACGTCTCTTTCTTTCCCTCTTTCGCGTGCAATCGAGTGTGTATGTATGTACACACACATACACACATGCTTTATATATATATATATATGTACCATATATATGAAACACGAGATGCGCATATAATACCGTAGTCTCGAGCGTATCACGCTTTCTGAGCTTTTGAAAGCACCGCGACAACATCGCGGGTCGCCGGCGCGCCGTGAGGCGAATAAATATCTACGAACCTCCTCTCCGAGCAGATACTGCCGATTTCGCGATAAATCCCGCGAAAATACCGCGTTAACACCTTGAGCCGTTATTTTCGCCACGCGTCCACCGCTAAATGCCTTTCAAACACGACCCTTATATTCAATCCTTTTATTGTACCTCAGATGTTTGAAGAATATAAAAGTGTTTTCACGATACATTCTCCTCTTCCTTTTTTGCACATTTTTTATAAATGAAGCAAGATGTAATCAAGATATATCTGTTTTTACTTGAAATTATGCAACAAACTTGAATTAAAAAATGAAA